CTTCCGATCTTATCCCTGAGCCGACGTTCTGATTTATAGCTGTTGCCGAGGGCGCAGCAGGTTGTACATTATGCGATGTTTCTAGTTGTTTTGAAAATGCGATAGGATCGTTTGTAAATGCATTGTTATTACTAAAAATATTATTGCTACCAAAAATTTCAGATTGTTTATCCTCAGTCATAGTGTTTTCATGATGCATTGTACCAGTCATCGCATTTTCATTATCAGATTGCTTATCAAAAGCTATTTTTATTTGTGTGGTTGATGCACAAGAAGATTGAGGTTTATACTCAAATATATTTGATATTTTTTGTTTAAGCCTACTTTGTGTATAGGATGCATTTGATGTCATCATTTGGAAATCATTCGAAATGATTGATTCGGAAACTGATATAAGTTTAGGTACACTTGATACATTGTTTGTATTTGCAGACTGTTTTTTAACTTGGGTAGGACGAACATCCTTTATGGCCTTCTGATTTTTGTCCCGGGTTGATGGCATTTTCTTTGTCCTCCTCTCCGTGAATTCGTATGGATGTTCATATTCGTGTTGTTCTATAGAAGAGGCATCAGTATTTTGATCCATGGCATTGATAGATTCAGGCATCAAATAACCATGTGCGTCAAAACTATCATGTGGTTTATGATCCTTGTAAATCTTTTCTGGCATTTTTCCACCAGCAATACATTGTCCAATACTGAAATGTACCGCAATTCTTTTCGATTCTATCAGATTATAGGCCCTACCCTGTTGTATACTCCCTGCGGGCATACTAAAGTTCCGACGATTAAAGAGAATGTTCAATTCGTCATTCGAAAAGTTCAGTCCTACTTGTTCGCAGAAATATTTAGCTTCAGTCTCGTTTTCGAAGCCGAGAATATCTATTAATTCGTACAACGGAAAAGCTGTCGAAGTACTTCTACAATACGCCTTCAACATTACCTTAAAAGCTTTCAGTCTAATTTGATTGAAATATCTTAATAAGATACAAGCATTCAAATAAGTCGTCTCTCGAACGAGTTTAAAGAATTTGTAGTAATTACTCGAATCCAGTGCAAAGTATATATTGATCGCAAACTGAATTTCTGGTGAATTTTGCACAGATTTCGGTAACTGTTGCAAGTCATATAGAAAATTACCATCATTTAAATTTAGTAAAACAATGTATGCTCTGAATTCTGATTCGTTTTCACAAGTGATACCTTTTAGTCTCAAATCGTGATACATATATTTCAAGGTCTGCAGGCATTTCGTTAAATTTTCCGTATTAATTTTCATGTCGAACACAGATGCATCTTCTGCACAAAGTCTCTCCGAACATACTATGTGAAACCTAGCGCATTGTTCGATCAATTCTACGCTTTCTACGCAACATAATTCCTGTTGCGTAATATCCTTCCTGATTCCTCTTGTTCTATCCCATAGAAAGTGATACCATTCTGCCAGATTTGTGTCCTCCTGCTCACAGAGATCCATTATCTCGTGCAGCAAGTAGCTCATAGTCATTTTCAACGACTTCACCGGCCTTAATTCGTGGGGCATCGGTTCCTCTTGGTCCGCAGAAGATCTTGAATATTGCTTTATAGCCGTCAAGTGATTTATTTTGTATTCATTTCCCTCTAGCTGTTCATATGGCGCAATTTGCCTCTGCGATTCGCGCATAAGACGTTCTTTTTCTGGGCACATATCAGGGCAAGTTCCGCTAGTTACTTTAGCTGTTGCAAGCGAGGCTGGTTTAATTCGTTTTAATCTCATGAGACGATCCCTAGCTTCCAAAATCTTGTATTTGTCTTCAGTCGTAAGAGCAACCTGATGTATTATATTTTGTAACTCCTCTATAGAGGTATTAGGTAAAGGTTTAATTATCTGACTCTCTGTATCAAGTTTTTCAATTTTTGCAGCAGTTTTCTCAAATTTGGTTGCCATTTTCTCATGCGGCAATACCGTTTTTCCTGCAGGTGCTCTAACTTTTAATGGATATAATGCACCTGTATTATCAGATAGTTTAGCTTCCTTGTCAGAATGTAAATTATACTCTAAATTTGTCATGGCCTCTAATTCAAATTTAATCTCGTCGTCGGGCGCTTTAAGTAGATTTGTCACTATATTTTTATGCGAAATTTTCTTTTTAGTTGGCATTTTCACTGATGATTCCAATTTTGTCCATTCTACATGAAACTTCTCGCCCATGTAGTCGCTACTGCCGTAATATGCAGCATTTGCCTCCATTTTTGATGTATAAACTACTATGATTATACGTTTCCTTGGACGGATAGTTATTTTCACGATATTCCCATACTTTATAAAATATTCTTTTGCCGCTGTTTTAGTTAACAAGGCGTTCGGAACATTGGTACATGTTATCGAGTTGTCAATATTAATTTTGGTAGTATGCGATCTGGAATTTTTTTTCAGCTGTTCAAACGCTCCTGTATCCTTAAGAGCACTAGCAAACACATTAAATGTGGGTTTAAATGTGGATCTAAAAATTTTTGGCTTATATCTGTTGGATTTATTGGCTTGTAAGCTTATATGACTTTCATCATATTGAGATAGTATTGTAGGTACAGCAAAGGTAAATATATCCTTCTTATTGGAATGGATATCAGAAACATGATCCAATTCTATATCAAAATTAATAACTCTTGAAGGATGAGATATATTACTTGGTTTAGAAAATACAAAACGATTAGGGACCGTGCTCGCTTCGGAAATGTTAATTTCTATGTCATCCATTTGTTCTATTTGATTGAACATTTTATTTTTATCTTATTCCTGCGACATATAAATATCATATAAATATCACATCAAATAAAAATTTCTTCATCAAAATCTGAGTACCTAAGAATTCAACTAAATATATATTTACCTTTATTATTCATAACACGTGTAAGAACGAGATCTTATATATATATATATATATATATATATATATATATATTTCATTTGGCTATGTTCGACTT